GTGACTTGTGACACCCCGGTCGGGTTATGTGGGGTTGAAAGTACTGATTATTATGGCCGTTAAGTTGTATTATTCTATTCACTTATGTTTAGTAACTGTTAAAGAAATGATTTGGGTAAGTTGGCTGGCCTTGTCTTCACGAGAGGCGCCATCACGATCGGGTATGAGAATTGGGTCGTGACAAAAATATTCTTTGTCTTTTGAAAGTATTTTTTAGCTTTTCTTACTTCATAATGGAGTAATTTCTTTTTGTTGGGATAGTTGATGAAGCTTGATATAATTATAATATTATCTCAGTTTCAATACATTCTTGCCCTGAAACTCTATATACATTTCATACTGTGATGGAATGATAATTTTTTAATCATTATTATCACATCTACATATTTTATATCTAAGTTATTCTTATATTAATTTTGTAATTCTCACGGAGCAAAATTAATATATAATAACTGATGAATAGAATATTAGAGTGAAAGTAATTTTTAATAAGATTATTATTTCAAGTCTATAATCTTGCTTTCCTCAGTTTTAATTCTCACGGAGGAATTGTTGAAGGCAAGATTATTGATTTTCTAGTAAAAATATTCTCACGAAGTTTTTACTACACCTAAGCATAAAATATTAGAGTTAAAATAATTTTTAGTAAGATTATTGTTTCAAGCCTGTAATCTTGCTTTCCTTAGTTTTAATTTTCACGGAGAAATTGTTGAAGGCAAGATTATTGATTTTCTAGTAAAAATATTCTCACGAAGTTTTTACTATGCTTGAGCACAATTCAGGCAAGATATTTCAGTTTAATCGTCACTAGTTTTAAATCAAATGATTGACATAACCTCGCGGAGTGTTAATTATTTATGTATTTCTTAGTGTAAAAATATAATTGTATTAGCAATAAGCAATTATTCTTTAGAGAAATACGTATGAACCTGAGATTTTATTGTAATGATATATCAAGTGAATTCAACGACTCCCAACTCTTTTTAAATATAAACTTTTCAGAAGAAATTTCTCTTAATTTATAATTTCAAACACACCTCTCATCAATTTGGTTCTCTCAAATAGTAGTCAAAATATTACAAGTCTGTAGCTTAGATTGTCCAATCTCTGTGGGACGATATCATAAACTATACTAGAATTTGACAGAGTACGAGCAAAAAATCCTATACACATAAGCTTCGTCAACAGACAACTCTGGGTCTACGCCGAAGCCCAGCGAGACATTTTCAAGAACTTGTGGGAAGCGGGCACCGTGACGGAGGCGGCCTTTGAGGAGGCGCGTGAGAAGGCTCGCGAGGCTCGTACAACCTGTGGATATGATGTGGCGACACCCGAAGCTGATGGTGGTGCAGGTAGTGACGATGATGAGCCTTATGGAGATGATGATGGTAACGGCGGTGTTGGCGCCGAGTGAAAAAAAAGTAGGGCTTTGTTGCTCTCTTTTTTCTTCGTACGCCGGTGTGCGTTTGTTTGTTTCTTGTTCTTGCTTTCTCCCTGCCTTTCTCTTTTATTTAGTTATTGGTTGACTGGCCCAGGCCGGATGTAAGCGGCGATGGCCCGTTCGTATGACCATGAATAAAGAATTCTTTTTCGCCACTTGCCGTGTGTTTCATCTTTTAGTCGATTCGTGATCTCGTCGCGAGGTGAGGGCTTGTTTGGCGAGTCCCGGTTCTCTTGTTGTAATGTAGGCCTCTGGCCTTGCGGGTTTCATTACAAACTTATCGAGAAGACATCTCGTTTGAGTTCGAACGAGGTCGAACATGTCGATCTTTGATGGCGAAGGCCTTAGCCTTAAGGGTGTTATTTCGAACTTATCGAAATAACAGCCTGTCTGAGTTCGAACGAGGTCGAACATGTCGATCTTTGATGGCGAAGGCCCTTAGCCTTAAGTCCCAGTTCGAACGAGGTCGAACTTGTCGCAGCTTTGATGGTGAAGGCTTTAGCCTTAAGGGTGTTATTTCGAACTTCTCGAAATAATAGCCTGTCTGAGTTCGAACGAGGTCGAACATGTCGATCTTTGATTGCGAAGGCCTTAGCCTTAAGGGTGTTATTTCGAACTTATCGAAGTAACAGCCTGTCTGAGTTCGAACGAGGTCGAACATGTCGATCTTTGATGGCGAAGGCCCTTAGCCTTAAGTCCCAGTTCGAACGAGGTCGAACTTGTCGATCTTTGATGGTGAAGGCCTTAGCCTTAAGGATGTTATTTCGAACTTATCGAAGTAACAGCCTGTCTGAGTTCGAACGAGGTCGAACATGTCGATCTTTGATGGTGAAGGCCCTTAGCCTTAAGTCCCAGTTTTGCAGGTGTTACTCGCATCGATGGTTTCAGCGCTGCGGACACCAGGTGCTGACATTTCGTTCGGACCTGCGTGGTATGCGCGTGACAGCTTCTCGCACGGCTGGCTGTTTATTTTGAAGACGCCATCATCCGAGAGGGTTTCGGCTGTGCTAAGGTGATCTTTGGTTCTTCGACCGGGGAATCCTTTCACCGGCGTCCGATTTGGTGAACTACGGGAGATGAGGATGAGATGTTCCTTATCCCTGCCCGGTGGTTTTGATTGCGGCACCTTTTAGCCTTGTTCGGAGTGTTTGGGGCTGGTAGGCTAGGAAATCCTAGTCCTCACTGGCTCGTTCGATTTTCCTTTTCTCCACGCGCTGCCTTCAAATCTTATGTGAGCTGGATGCTTTCTTCGCGTTTCTTTGGCTTCGATCCGAAAAGAGAACTAGGTGTTTTCACTAGGAAATCCCCACAGACGGCGCCAAATTGTTTGACTCAAAAGATGTTAAACTCTTTTTAAGCAAATCAATCAAAGAGATGAAGGGGTAAATCATAGTCAATCATAATTCATATCGGATCTAAAGATAAAGAAATGGCATTTAAATACAAAAATGTAGGAAGCATCGAAAATGTTTTATTTATGATGAAGCTTTGCCCTGCCCCTCCTTGGAGGGGAAAGGAATTACAATCATTGTGTTTCTCTCTAGATGGAGCTTCCTTTTCCTTCTCCTGGAGTTCTGTTATCTCCCCTCTGATTTATTGGAGTTTTTCGGAGAAGAAGTTCCTCAACCATCCCCTTGACTGGGTTCCCTTCACTTCATATTTATAGTCGAAAGAAACCTGCTTTTTCCTTAGCTATAACTTCTTGTCAGAATTGTGGAAGCCTACTGGTCGGGGTGAGGGGCGTACCCTCGTCACTTGTGGAGAATGTCATGGTGATGGAGTCAAGATGGTTCCGTTGACTTCTTTCATACGGTGACTGAAACAGGATCGTGGTCGCCTCGGTCGGGATGGTCAGATTTCTGACCAATACACATAGAAATGAAACCTCCTACTTTTCTATCGGTGAGGAATTAATAAACTAGAAAATAAACACAAAATAATTTGAGAATATTATAGAAAATCACATATAACAAAGTGCGGTAAATTATCTTATGTAAAAAAAAAAGTGTAGTTACCTATCACAAGAATAGCTTATTGCATTCTATCGAGCTTACATGCATGCTCCACTAGTTTTTTTATTCAAAGGCACTACATAAAAACAAATAAAAATAATAGTCTATTTAACTTGTTAAATGAATGGAACAAACCAAAAAAAAGTAAAAAAAAATCAGCCAAACTTGTTGTATGGGGAGGAGGGGGAAGAAGGATCAGTGTCAACAATAACAGCAAATTCAGTGAAGAAAGAAGAAATAATGTTGATATACTATCTTTATGATATTAGCAACAACAAAAAAGACTAATTAAGATATTATTACTCTTTTCAAGTAAACCTGCGAGATGAACGGTATAAAGCTAAACAATATAAAATATTTCAAACTACTTAATTAGGTTATGATAGGGATAACAACTTTCATAAGTAAAGCTTGAATTTTTTTGACCAGCTAAAAATCAGATTCACACTGTATTGATATTCTCAAGACAAGAGTATTACTATTAATCTTATTGGGAATCATTTGATATTCATTCTTCTTTTTCCTTGTTGAGGGATTTTTCATATTTGATTTAAAATCTCCACAAATATAAACGACTAAAATCAACTGCTTCTTCTAAAGATTGAGATTCGCAATGTATAAGAAAAATAAGTTCGATCATTTTTGTCATTTTCTGTACAAGTATTTGGTATTTATTATTTACCGTCCGATTACTTCATATTCGCAAAGCATAATATTCATTAAAGGAAAAGGTGTTATCTATTCAAATTTTATCATTCTTGAAACTCGAACTAAATTTTGATTAAATATAATGAATTTTATCAATTCCACAACACTCCGTGATGATAATTTCCCATTTCGATGTGTCAATATTCAGTTAATTTATGTGATACTCCCTCTTGTCCAAGTTTATTTGTCTACTATATATTAACTTAACATAATAATTTTACTATATCACTCCTAATTATTGTTATTAAAAAATTAACTTTGACTATTATAAATTTAGAATATTGGTAAATAATAAGGGTTAAGTAGGTATAAAATGGTAAATTATTCATTAGTTTTTCAAATTGAACAAATAAAAATAGATATTTATTTTTAGTATAATGAATAATTAAACTTGGACGTGAGTATTACTTAAAATTTCAATAAAGTAGATCACTTGAAGTACTTTACAAGGAAAATGAAAAGAAAAAGGAAGATATAGAACCTCATAGCACCTTTATTTCCTATCATTACGGCAAAAGAAAACTCATTTACGAGGATTTAATGAATGGTTTGGCATTTATTGACTATCATTTTCCTCAAGTTCATTTATGAGCATAACTATATACTTCATTTGGTGTTTGATATATTATGAAACTTGATAAATTTGAATTTACGTTGAATTCTATTCTCACAATTTAAATCCGAAAGAATGAAATTCTCAATTTTACAACTGCTACTTCTATAATAATTTCAAACTTAAAAAGGTGAGCATTACGCTTCAGTTGTTGTACCTTTTCTATAATATTTGTACAAGCCATTTCCGAATAAAAATTTAGATTTCAACGTAGATTCAGAATTAGAAAGAGCATGGGACCTACACATTCCCTGATTGGAAGAAAAGCTCACATCCCACCCCCCCAAATACCTTCATATTAAGTCCTCAACAAATTCTCAAAACCTGAAAAAAGCAATTTTGATTTTTCAATTCGATGTCTGATAGCTGCAACTCACGGCACTTCTCATGGCTGATGAAATCTTGCTTCCCCAACCCCCAACATCCACCACCCCACCACCCTACTCCCACCACCACCACCATTTCCTCCACTACCATTTCTGAACTCCCAGATGACCTCCTCCTTGAATGTCTCTCACGGGTCCCACACTCTTCCCTCCGTTCTTTACCTTTAGTCTGCTCTCGTTGGTCCCACCTTCTCGATTCCCCATCTTTTCACCTTCTCCGTCACCGTAATAACCTTATTCGCCTCACCCTCTTCGCCGTTTCAGTTTCTGATTCCACTCTTTTTACTGCTAGTTACAGATTGGAAAATGACTGCTCTTGGAAGATTTGCTCTTTTCAAGATGGGTCTTTTTATTCTCTGTTCTCGCATTCTCGTTTGTCGGCGATTGGTCGGAGAATTTACGTCATTGGTAGGACGGCGATGCTCCGGTGTGATACCTGGACGGGTACTGTGGTTGTTAGAGAAGGGCCAGTTTTCCAGAGGAAGAAGTTTGCTGCGGCGGTTGTGGGCGGGAAAATCTACGTCGCCGGAGGTAGCGCGAGGTCTGCAGTGGTGGAGGAGTACGATCCGGCGAACGACGCGTGGAGCGTGGTGGCGAACGCTCCGAGGAAGCGGTACGGATGTGTCGGCGCGTCTGTCGACGGCGTGTTTTATATCGTCGGGGGTCTCAAAATTGGCGGCACATCAGGGAATGACGGGGTGGTTGCGCGTGGGGCAGACGCGGCGCATGTTTACGCAAGCTCTATGGACTTGTACGATGTGGCTAACGGTGTTTGGTTGAGGAGCCGTGCCGTCCCCGGAGGCGGCTGCGTGGTGGCGGCGTGCGCGGCAGCTGGTCAAATCTATATTCTTTCAAGCCATGCAGTGGAGCTTTCATTTTGGAAGTTCAATGGGTCACGTAAAAGCAACGAGTTTGGTGGATGGTGTAGGATAAAATCGCCACCACTACCGGCGCAGGTTAGACTAGACAGCACGGTGAGGTTCAGCTGCGTGGGGATAGGAGAGAAGGTGGTGCTAATACAAGTGAATGGTTGCATAGACGACTTGCTGAGGCGGAGTGGGAGGGTAGAAAGAGGGATGAAGGAGGGGTTGGTGTTGGTCTACGACTGTGCCGCCGGCGAATGGAGCCGTGTGGCCGATTTACCGGAGGTCATTCGCCGAGCCGCCTGCGTCTGTGTTGAGTGCTAACTTGCGCCGTGTGATCTTGTATCATAGAAGAAAGTACTTGTAATTCATAACATTGATAACGTATCTCTGCATTCTTTCTTCCCCATTGGTAAAAGAAGAAACTTTTAGTAATCACTATCTTCAGTAAGTTGATCCTACATGTTATTTTCAAATATTGGTTAAAAGTTGCTTATAAAGATTTTACAAATAGATATAATTTATTGTTTATGTTTAGGTCAATTTGTGATGTTTGCTGAGAAAATGGGGCTTTTATCTAGTACTTAATCGTTTAGTAGTTTGGAGCAACTTATATGCACAGATTATAACAAATTGATTGTAATTTAGAGAGTGTTAATTGTTCAATATTATACTTGTATTGACCTCTAAAATGATTACAAGTCGCCATTAGAGAAACTAGAACTTAGAGCAAAAATTTCAGCCTTACCCAACCTCTGTGTGTCGGCCGAGCATCATTTACGCTCCGTGTTTTGATTTAGAGGGTATTTGCATTGGTTTAAAAGCGTGAAAATAGAGAATGGGTTAGCCGGTTGTTTTCAAAGAATTGACCCAAATAGCTGCTCACCTAATATTAAATTAAAAATAGTCGGTGGATATATAATTGTTAACAACCATGGAAATAGAGATCAAAGCTAATGTGAAGAAGAATCTAGAAGGAGAAGATAAGAGAAGAATGAGAGAAGAAGAGAACCAACTCACTTCATTTCCAAAAACTAAGTTCTGTACAACCTACAACGGTATTTAACAGACTAACTAACTTTAATACTAACCGACTTTTACTAACTCCTAACTAACTAACTCTAGTTAATATTACACTTACATTTAATTATAGTTAGCTATTAGCTTGTCACTTAGCTGCTAGCCAACACTCCCCCTCGAGCTGATGATTCAAATAAGTTCTTCAATTCCATTTTGTTTAGCAAGTATTCATGTTGAGCTTTTCCCAGACCCTTTGTGAGTAATTCTGCTAGTTGATCTTCTGTATTCACATACTCAGTTTTCAGCAGTCCTTAACTTAGCTTTTCCCTCACAAAATGACAATCTATGTCAATATGTTTTGTTCTCTCATAAAATATCCGATTGGCAGCTATTTGGATTGCTGCTTTGCTACACATATTAGAGTAATAGGCAGCTCAATCTTGACACCTAGTTCACTGAACAGACTTGTTAACCATGTAACTTCTGCTGCACACGATGCCATACTTCTAAATTCTGCTTCTGCTGAACTTCTAGAAACAGTACTTTGCTTTTTAGACTTCCAAGATATTAATGTATTGCCAAACTTAACTAAGTACCCTGTAACTGATCTCCCTGTCTGTATGCATGCCCCCCAGTCTGAGTCACAATAAGCAATCAGCTTACTCGATGATTCTGCAGGCACCAGCTGTCCCAAACCTGGTGCCTCCTTTATATACCTTACCACTCTCAGTGCTGCTTCTATGTGAGAATTCTTAGGACAATGCATGGACTGACTAAGGACCTTAACTACAAAATCAATGTCTGGCCTGGTCATAGTAAGATACAGCAGTTCCTACCAATCTTTGGTAAACACCAGGATTCTTGAGAGCTTCATCCAAGTGAGCACTATTGGTATTGAAGCAGTTGTCATATTCTGTGGATGTTAACTTCTGATCCAGCTTTAATGGTGTTCCATTTGGCTTTGCACCACTTAGACCTGACTCAGATATTAACTCTAGAGCATACTTCCTCTGACACATGAGAATTCCTTGTTTAGACCTTGCAAACTCAATGCCTAGGAAAAATTTCAGCTCTCCTAAATCCTTTATCTTGAACCTTTTCTTGAGATCTATCCTAGTGTCACACAACAACTGTTGGTTGTTCCTAGTGATCAAAGGACCATCTACATACACCAGTATGATTACTATGTCACTCCCAGCTTTCTTTGTGAACAAGGAATAATTATAATGACTTTGCTGAAACCCCATATGAAGTAAAGCTTCAGTCAACTTCATATTCCACTGTCTTGGGGTCTGTTTAAGTCCATAAAGGGACTTATGGAGTTTGCAGACTTTCTTGTGAGTCTCCCCTGTCTAGCAAACCCCTCAGGTATATGCATATAAACCTCTTCAATGAGATCTCCATTAAGGAAAGCATTATGAACATCCATCTGAAAGATCAACCACTGTTTAGAAGCAGCCAATGCAATAATAGATCTGACAGTAACTATCTTAGCCACAGGAGAAAAGGTTTCACCATAATCCAAACCTTCCTTTTGACTGTACCCTTTAGCAACCAATCGAGCTTTGAACCTTTCTATCTTCCCAGATGCTTTATACTTAATTTTGTAAACCCACCTACAACCAATAGGTGTCTTTCCTGGTGGAAGATCTACAATGATCCAGGTATGATTGTCCTCCAGTGCATTAATCTCCAACTGCATAGCTTTCACCCATCTAGGATCATTAGCAGCCTCTTTAAAAGTAGTTGGTTGTGAGAGAGCTGAGTAGGCTGTGAGAGCTTGTCTGAAAGTTGGAGAGATGTGAGAGTAGTCTACATAGGAGGAATTGGGATAAGTACATTTTGAGCCTTTGGAGATGGTGACATAATTGCAGCCATACATGTGGCTTGCTTGGTCTGGAGGATCTTCTGCATTCTTCAAGAGGCTCAGCAGGATATGATATGTTTCAGCACAAGCATCATCCTGATAATCACTCACAGTGGGAATGATAGGTTCAGAAGCAGTTGTGTCTATATGGAAGGAGGGAATTTCTGTAGAGGACTCTGATGATATATGACCTGCAGCAGGCTTAGTTGAGTCTTCTACTGTAGGTGTTGAAGAGGAGATAGGAGTTGCAACATTCAACTCAGGAGATAACAGATCCATGATAGAGAAAACCAAAGTTCCTGAATCTCTAACATGCTTGAAAGGAAACACAGTTTCATGGAACATAACATTCCTATTGACCATAAAGGTTTTGGAATGCAAGTTATACAATATATATCCCTTTTAAGTAGAGGAGTAACCTAAGAGCACAACAGGCACTGCTCTAGGTGAAAACTTGTCCAAAACTTTAGGAGTTGTTGCATAACACAAACAACCAAATACTTTGAGATGAGATAAAGAAGATGGATGCAAATACAGCTCCTCAAAAGGTGATTTGCATCCAATTACCTTAGAAGGTAATCTATTGAGTAAATACACTGCTGTAGTAGCACATTCTCCCCCAAAATCTTAGAGGCACAGCTGCTTGAAATCTGGGGGATCTAGCAATTTCCAAAATAGTTCTATGTTTTCTTTCTGCCACCCCATTATGCTGGGGTGTGTAAGCACATGTACTCTTATGGACAATTCCAAGACTAGACAATAAGTACCTGAACTCAGTACTAAAAAATTCACTTCCATTAACAGTCCTTAGAATTTTAACAGTAGTAGAGAACACATTATTTGCTTGAGTAAGAAAATCTCTTAGAACTACAATTGCTTCTGACTTAGAATTTAAGAGGAAAATCCAAGTAAATCTGTTGTAATCATCAACTATGGTGACAAAGTACCTTTTACCATCATGTGTAGGTACTATATATGGTCCCCAAATATCACAGTGAACTAATTCAAAAAACAGACGTTGTTGTAGTATTACTCAGCTGAAAAGGCATCTTGGTTTGTTTAGCAACAGGACATACAGTGTAGGGCTGATTAGAGTTACCTGTTGTCAGCTTACTCAGTGTCTCTATCTTCTTTATTATGTCTATAGGAGCATGAACTAATCTCTTATGCCATAAACTGCAAATGCTAAACAGACACACTAGAAGAAGTACTGAAAATAGAAGAAGAAGTGGAAACATCATTTGCTGTGTTGACACACTTATTTGTTGCCTGAGATGAGGCTGATATAGAAGTACTCCCACACAGTATGTACAGTCCATGCTCATTTCTACCAATCCCATTCACCTGACTACTGAAGAGGTCCTGAAAAATACGGAAGTCAGGGAAGAAGCCAACCATACATTTTAGTTCCTTAGTGAGTTTTGAAACTCAGAGCAGGTTGAACTTAAAGTCAGGAATGTAGAGAACATTAGAGATTTCCTGATTACTTAATACATAAGTATATCCTGTGTGTGATACTGATACCACACTTTTAGTAGGTAAGTATACTTTGTTTTCTTTTGTGTTTGGAAGTGCCCTGTGATTGTGCAGCATGGCTAGGCTTGAAGTCATATGATTTGATGCCCAGTGTCAACAATCCACTTGTCATTAACACAATGAGACATAAAAGCATTCACTTTGCTCAGAATACCTGCAGCAGCTAATTTGCTTGATGAGTCTGATCCTTCTATGCTTCCTTTGGACAATAGATGAACAATATGTTGATACTGTTTAGGAGTAAAGATATGATCAGGATGTGGCATTTGCTAGAAGAAAGCAGGTTGATTAGCTGGTTGTGGAACACCTGAATTAGAGTGACTTCCTCCTCTGCCTTGTTGAATCACACTAGAAGCTACATTGCTCCCCATAATATATTTGTCTGTACAGTTCACCTCTGCATATATTTGTCTGTACAGTTCACCCTGCAGTAGCTAATTTGCTTGATGAGTCTGATCCTTCTATGCTTCCTTTGGACAATAGATGAACAATATGCTGATACTGTTTAGGAGTAAAGATATGATCAGGATGTGGCATTTGCTAGAAGAAAGCAGGTTGATTAGCTGGTTGTGGAACACCTGAATTAGAGTGACTTCCTCCTCTGCCTTGTTGAATCACACTAGAAGCTACATTGCTCCCCATAATATATTTGTCTGTACAGTTCACCTCTGCACCACACACTTGATTTGCATAGTGTCCAGTATTGATTCCCTTCTTCTTGGATTTGAAATTCGGAGGATATCCAACTAGCTTATAGCTATTTTTCTTTGTATGTCCCTTGTAGTGGCAATATTCACATTGAACTTGACTTCTCTTTGGTTTGTAGTTTCCGGTATTATTTGTGTTTTTGCTGCTATACATAGATACATTCTCCAAGGCTTCAGAAACTTTAGCTATTTGTGTCATATTTGCAAGGTTTCTTTGGCTTTCCTGATCAACTAACATAGAATAGGCTTTGTTTATACTAGGCAAAGGGGACATCATCATGATTTGGCTCCTTGACTGAGAATATGACTCATTTAAGCCAG